TACTCAGTCAAAACACTCATACACATAAAATAAAAAATACATAAATCTAAAAAAAATATTTAAAAGAAAAAAGAAAGTAAAAGACTAAAGAAATTAGCCTGAGTCTGCTTTAATTCAAAATATAGTATGCCTCCTCCACTCAAATGAGAGATGCCTGGTCAAGAACTCAGGTCCCAAAAGGGATTGCACATGGCTATTTGATTCACAGGTAAGGTGTGCAGACAGTGGTAGCAATGACCATTCTTAGAAAACCAAGGCTCCAATGTTAACTAAACCTTAAGTCTCCCAGTACTGTTCAGAAGACATTACAGGGGGTCAGCCACTCATTAGTATAGTATCCTTTTGCCACCAATGTGTCTTTAAGTCTCATTTTTCTCATCTGGAAGATGGGTATAATACTTTGTAGGTTGTTATAAAGATGATGTTTATGGAACACTGGCAAAGTGGGAACTCGATGAGCTGCTTTTCTGACTTCCACTAAGTAAGGACTCTGAACTCCTCCCACCTCACAAGTCCCATCTTAGCTAGATCTACTCTGTATAACCCTTGTTCACTCAGATTTCTGTAACTAGTTCTCTACAGTCAATTTCATATAATACTTAGAAACCTCCATAAACACCAGGGAGCCCTATTTGCCTTCAAAGACCAGTCAAAACAGTAATTACTAATGCTAATTACAGAGTGAGTTTTGAGTCAAGCCTTGTGGGTCATGAATGTAAATCCCGTTCTACTCTGTGCTATAGAAAGCAACTTCTTTGTCCTTTATTTCTCCACTTACAAAGCTGGAATAAAACTTTTACTTAACTGAGCCGGGCGTGGTGGCGCACGCCTTTAATCCCAGCACTCGGGAGGCAGAGGCAGGCGGATCTTTGTGAGTTCGAGGCCAGCCTGGGCTACCAAGTGAGCTCCAGGAAAGGCGCAAAGCTACACAGAGAAACCCTGTCTCGAAAAAACCAAAAAAAAAAAAAAAAAAAAACTTTTACTTAACTGATAGGTTACGCTGTAAGGTGAAATGAGATAATACATGATGTGCCAGGCATGTGGTAAGTAAAGAATTTTAAGGCCTGGAAGGCCCTCAATGACTTCATCCAAACCTTTCATTTGACAAATAAGTGAAGTCCAGAAAGCAAGTGAGCTGCCCAGGCCACACACCATTAGCCTACGACATAACTTAGACCTATTTATAAATGCTGGATTTTTTTTCCCCACCACTTCCTGCCATACTGTTATAAATTTATCTTGGCAGTACCAGGAGGAGAAAAATAAGTGTTCAGTCCTTAAATATACACATTTCATGACGCTTATAAAATTTAAAAGGGCAAATGCTGGTGACAATGAGATTCACAGCAATCAGGTGAACCACACAAGTAGCAATGGAAAGCATCTGGCTCAGCACTGGTGTGGTAGGCTGTGTTCTTACACGAATCTCCCCCATTCTCCTCTGCTGCTCTGAATACCAAGACATCTCAGAGCCAAATTCAATTTCAGCTGTCCCTCAAACTCAGATTCAGTCCAATTTCGTCTTCTCAGAGGTAAAGGGAAGGCCAGCTTGTGTCAATGGGATGGGCATGCACAGGCTGGGGTTTGGACTAACCTGAGGGTAGAAGGCAGATGATGCTGTGCGTGGGCTGCGGACAAAATCCATAAAGAAGGCCCCGTCCTGAAGTCAGAGGAGGAGGAAGCAACAGCAGCAGCAGCAGCAGCAGCAGCAGCAGGTGTAAGGTAGCCAAGAAATGGATTGTGTATGAGAAAATGAGGAGAGGGAGATGAAAAAGAAGTAAATAAATAAATGAAAACAAGGAGGCAAGGAGAAAATCAGGATATGGGGGAATGGGGTGGGGGTGGAACAGGGATCCCAGAAAGACAATATCCAAATGCAAAGCATGAGCAAGAAATCACACTTCAATTAGCAGAATACCGTCTATGTGGGCGAAAGGTACCACCAAGCTCCTTGTGTGTACCTATGGCTTGGATGCTTTTAACTTCCTTCAGACCTATGGCAAGGAAGAGGGAACAGTCCCAGAGCAGTGCTGGGAACAGCAGGGTAAAGGCAGCAGTGACATCTTGTCCTTCAGTTTGGCTGGATAAGCAACAGCTCTCTGGGAGAGAGACACTGAAGCCTAAGGTTTCTTCTGTCTGTTAGTTACTAAATGTGGCAGCAAAGAATCAATGAAGCGAAAGTCTTGCTTAATCTCATGTGCATACAGGGGGTGCAGAGGCAGCAGTACTTGCTCCTCTACTGCTTGGGATCACAATCAAGACACTAAGACACACATAAAGTCAGGTACGTAAGTACGAATGCAGTGGGCTTCCTGAAGCCATCACCCTGCTCTACTTATGGCTGGGTATAAATGCCCATGTATTTGAAGCAAAAATGACAAATAGGACATTTCAAAGAGCATCTGATCCTTCAGAGTCTTTTTACTGTGCATGAATGATTATTGCTGCAATGCAGGAGTGACAACAGATCAAGGTCTCTGCTCTCCTTCAGTTCCACAAGTAAAACAGGGGAAATATTTGGGTGTTCACTGTATTACCATTGCCAGTACCTCCCAGCAGCCACTGTAAACTCAAGGAGCACATCCTGGAGAGGCATGACTGAAGGTGCAGATGCATCACACACTCCTTAAGAGGCACCGCCTCCAGATGTGCCAGCAGGACAGCTCATGGCTTTTCGCTTCCAACTCCCTAAACCTGGAGTACACACCCAGCACCACGGCTTACAGAAGTCAGAGGAGTACAGTGAGCATCCCCAACAGCAATCTAGTTTGTGGCCTCTAGTGCATTTCAACCTTCCTACAATTCTCTACTTGTCCATCTTGTCGTTGGCACCATCTCTAATCCTGAGAAATGACAATGTATAAAGGTCAGAAAAGGCTGGTAGGCATTAGTCCATCCCAGAATATGACTGCTGAGGCACTGATGTACTGAGAGATCTATGTCACAGAAACAAGATCAACCTTGCCAAAATAACTTTTTTTTTTTTTATGTATAGCCTTTGTACACAGACTCTCCTTGGGACCTAAAGCTATTTCTTTCAGCAGGGGTCAGCAAACTACAGCTTGTAGAGTAAATCTGGCCACTCGCCTGATCCTCACAGGCTATGAGCAAACAATAGCTTTATAATTTTAAATGGTTATAGAAGTACTTATGCAGGACCTTTATTTTGTTCATGAAGCCTGAAATCTACACACAGGGTTGCTGATCTCTGGTCCACAGTCTCCAACCTGCCTACAGCTTTGGTTGGTACCTTTCTATGTTTTAATCCCTAGCATGTAATTCTAGTAATTTATACCAAGGTAATTAATCAGACCTGTAGTCAAATAACTGCTATAAGGAAACTCATTAGCATCATTTATAATTTTACATATTATAGATTAAATTCTATATAATTGGCAAAATTTTTCCTCCCAATACAGCTGTCTCTATGTAGCCCTGGCTGTCCTGGAACTCACTCTGTTCCAGGCTGGTCTCTAACTCACAGAGATCTGCTTGCCTGTTTCCTGAGTGCTGGGATTAAAGGTGTGCCCTATAACACTCAGCTAAAATTTATCTTAAAAATGAGAAACCATTTACATTTTAAGCAAGTTTTCTGTGTCAATGTAGTATTGGGAATCAAACCCAAGACCTTGAGTATGTAAACTGAACACTCCACTTCTGAGCCAGGACCCCAGCCCATAACTACTTTATTTATTTTCCTTACATTTATTTATTTATTTTTTATTTTTTGGTTTTTCGAGACAGGGTTTCTCTGTGTAGCTTTGCGCCTTTCCTGGAACTCACTTGGTAGCCCAGGCTGGCCTCGAACTCACAGAGATCCTCCTGGCTCTGCCTCCCGAGTGCTGGGATTAAAGGCGTGCGCCACCACCGCCCGGCTTATTCTTTTTTTTTTAATTAAGAGATTTTCTATTCATTTTACAGATCAACCACGGATTCCCCTGTCCTCTCTCCTCCCACCCCCCATTATATTTATTCTTATTTTATGTGCATTGGTGTTTTGCCTGCATGTATGTCTATGCGAGGGTGTCAGATCTTGGAGTTACAGACAGCTGTGAGCTGCCATGTGGGGGCTGGGAATTGAACCCAGGCCTCTGGAAGAGCAGTCAGTGCTCCTAACCACTAAGCCATCTCTCCAGCCCCCCCACAGCTACATTAAACATCGTGTTTTAGGGATTGAGAGTTTAGTTCAGTTGTAGAGTACTTGCTTAGCATGCAAAAGGCCTTGGTTGAATCCCTAAAACTTAAAATGGAAAAAAAACAAAACAAAACAAAACAAAACAAAACCAAACTCCCACAAATTTTTAAAACATGACATGGAAAACTTTATGAGTAAAATTAATAAATACTAAGTTAGATACAAAATATGCCAAAACTATGAAAAGTAAGTGCTCCGACTCTTTCGTCTCCCTATAGTAAAAACTAGGTAAGAGAACAGTCAGCTTACCCTGCCACACAAAATGATGAGTCTGAACTTCCCAGGAGACACAAAAGCCTAACCTGGGTTTTTTTGTTTGTTTGTTTGTTTTTTTCCATTCTGTCGAATTTGTTATGCTATAGAGAGGCCTAAAGTCTCAAAGTTTTGTTTGCATTTTTCTTTCCCAACTATTTCTCAGGAGTCTTAAAAACAAAACAAAACAAAACCCAAATAGGAGGCTTGTGTGGGTGGTGCTTCAGGAACTCCAATTCCCCTCTGGCAGAGTAGTGGTGACCCAAAAGGGCTAGATGGCAAATGCCACAGCTCAGCTCAGATCTCAGCCTGGACCAAGAGAGCTGTGTGTGGGTGACTGACATGCTGCACCTGAGGAGAAATCCACCCACTAACATCGAGGGGAAGGCTCCTTCATGGGGGTAGAGGGAGCTGAGAAAACTTTACGAGGGTTTGTAACAGAATTTATCTGCAGCTTCGGCACAATTGACTCTATTCATGGCTATATGTCATGCCTTCATCTGGGCTCCTGAGAGCACATAGCAACAGTCCCCTAGTGGTGAGCCGCCTTTACCTTTCGTGGGCTGTCCACATAGGTGGGCGTCATAGCGACACTGCTGTTCTCAGCTGCCTGAGAGGAACTTTTTCCATGCACAGCTGCCTGCTGCTCTCCTAGGCACCTGAAGGAAGGAAAATGCATGACTGCAGCTTGCTGGAAGATGTCTAGAGAAGAGCCACGTTAGTCTACATGAAGACAGCACAGCTGTTTCCACCTTCAAAACATATGCTTCTGCCTTGCTTTTCCTTCAGGCCCTACATGGCCCCCTTAACACCATTAAATCATCCTAAACAGCCATTTGTCTCCCACAGTATATCAGAAAACAGCCCAATCAAAGAACATCGTAGGGCTGGTGAGATGGCCCATTGGGTCAAGGTGCTTGCCACCACACCTACAACCACTGAATGCACACAGTGGAAGAAAAGAACCAACTTGTGTAAGTTGATCTCTGACTTCCCCACACACTGTACCGTGTGTGCATCCCCTCTACAAAATAAGTGTGATAGAAAATAAAAAGCATTCCAAGAAGCAGGGTGTAGTGTCACACACCTTTAATCCCAGGAGGATCTCTGTGAGTTTGAGGACAGCCTGGTCTACACAGAGAGTTCCAGGGCAGCCAGAGCTGCATATTAGACATCTGCCTCAAAAAGACCAAAAAATAAAAAAACAAGCATTCAAGAAAAACAAAATCCCATGTTTCCACGCATATGTAGAATCCAGACTTAAATATATACATGTACATGGCATAGAAGCAAAAAGACCACAATTAGGGAGGAAGAGGACCAGAGAGGGGGAGGAGGGAGGAGCGCAGGGCAGGGAGTGGGAATATGATGATACATGTATGAATATTTCATAACAAAACCCATGACTTTTTTAACCATTTTTTTTTTAATACTAAAATCTTAGTTTAAGCGGCTGGAGAGGTGACTCAGTGATTAAGAGCACTGACTGCTCTTCCAGAGGATGTGGGTTTGATTCCTAGCACTCACATGGTGACTTAACTTCAGTTCCAGGGGATCCAGAGCCCTCTTCTGGCCTCCTTGAGCACCAGGCATGCATGAGGTACACAGACATACATGCAGGCAAAACACCCATACACATTCAAAAAAAATTATTGTGGGCTGGCATGTGCCTGCAGGCCTAGCTCTTTGAAAGACTGACCAAGACGATCATTTGAGCCAAGGAGTTTCAGAACAGTCTAGGTAACAGGGTGAGACCTCACAAAAACACATTCTGAAAATCAGCACTGCAGTAACATGCAGTATCAACTAAAGGGATATGTTCTACATACTTTAAAGGGATTTAAGTTAGTTTTTCTAACATAATTATATTTCTTCCTTTCCCAAGTCATAAAGTAAGACAAGTAAGATTTTCTTATGTCATCTTATCTCAGTTCTGATGTATTTTAATGCATAGCTTTTTGTGTTCATTTTCTAATTTTTCCCCAACTAAAATTAACTGAATGCAGTGTATCATAAGTAATATAAAGATGGTTTAAAGTATATGGAAGATAAAAAAATTGGGTCATGGTAGCACACACCTATAATTCCAGATATGAGAAGGCTAAGCCAGGAGGACCATGAGTTCAAGTCCAGCCTAAGATATATATCCAAAGCAAAAAGCAAGGGCTAGAAATAAGTTCAGTAGTAACATTCCTGCTGAGCACGTGCGAGGCCATGTGGTCAGTCTCCAATACCTCTTTCCCCTAAAACTAAACTGTAAACTCTTGTACACTGCTTTCAGATCTCATTGTATTACTTGGTAAGTTTCAAAAGACCCATACAGTCTTAAGTGTTTCATCACTGCTGTAACAAACCATCTTTCTATTGTAACAGAAATACAATTCTACAGAGCACTGTTTGCGGCGGTGTGAGAAAAAGTCTATATATTTAGTACAGACTTTATTTAAAAGAAAAATTTTTACATTTATTTATTGGGGTTGGGTGTGGCTCATGCCATAACACCCACGGGAATCAAAGTTAGAGGACAACTTACAAGAGTGGGTTCTCTCCTTCCACCACGTTGATTCTGGAAAATGCAGGTCATCAGGCTTGGCAGCAAGAGTCTTTACCCACTGAGCCGTCTTGCCAGCCTTAGATTCAATTTTAGATCAGTGGGTGGTGAAGCCACAAATACATCACCCACAGACAAGGAGGACCAATTATATTGCTGCTGCTGCTGCTGCTGCTGCTGCTGCTGCTGCTGCTGCTGGATACCTCAAAGCTAGATCCTTAGCTCTGGCCCATTTTCTTCAGCAGCTGGGAGCACTATTTGGGGGAGAACAGCTCCAACTGCAGAGCAGGTTGGACTAAGCTGAACAGCCACAGTCAGTGAATGGCGTGTGTGCTGTCAAAACTCAGATTACCTTTGAAAACTGTCCCATCTAGCTCCGGTGCTCATGTGGGGCCCCTGAGGCTGTCACTGGGTAGGTGACAGTACTCCCACAGATGTTGAGCCTTAAACTCTCCTTAAACAGTTTATATATGAAATTCTATCTTGTTCTGTTTCCCTGGTAACCTCATCTGTAACATTTCTCATATGCTGACTCTGTGTGTCTGTGTGTGTGTGTGTGTGTGTGTGTGTTGCAGAGATCAAACCCATGCTCTCATGTCCACTATAGCAAGTGCTCTACCACTTTTGTCACCCGACTGTGAGATAATCAAATATAAACAAAAGATAAACAAAAACAAAGGGATAATTTATATTAACATGTAGAGACCCCTGCATATTCAGCCACTAAAATTACAAACTCAGGTCGGGCAGTGGTGGTGCACGCCTTTAATCCCAGCACTCAGGAGGCAGAGGCAGGCAGAGTTCAAGGCCAGCCTGGTCTACAAAGTGGGTTCCAGGACAGCAAGGACTAAACAGAGAAACCCTGTCATGAAAAACAAAACAAAAAGACATACTCAGAGACAATTTTGTTTCCTCTAGTTCTCTGTCCACACACACACCAATTACTTTGAAACAAAACTCACATATCATTTTATCTGTAACAGTATCTCTAAAAGAAAATATCTTTTTTTTTTCTTCCCCGAGACAGTTTTTCTGTATAGCCCTGGCTGTCCTGGAACTCGCTCTGCAGACCAGGCTGGCCTCGAACTCAGAAATCCACCTGCCTCTGTCTCCCAAGTGCAGGATTAAAGGCGTGTGCCACTACTGCCTGGCTGAAAATAACTTTTAAAGAAACATAAGCACAACCAAATATTTCCACAACTGTTTAAAAAATATTAGTGTATTCAAAACAAGATTCTATGAAGGCCTCTGTTTTGCACTAAGTAGTCCCTCTTAAGGTCTAAACTCCTCTTCTCTCTCCCTATCCTTGTAGCTCATCTGTCCCGCAAATGTATATAATCTAGATGTGCTGAGTCCATTCCTTTATTAGTCCATGTTTTCTTCTCCGTGTTCTGTACTTCCTAAGAACTGTAAGCTATACCACTTAAAAGCTTAGTTGGATTTAAGTTCAACTGCAGGCAAGGGTTCTTCTTCTGTGGTGCTGTGTACTGTCATCTGGGGGGTCCATGACAGGCTGTCTATGCTAATATTAGCTGCAGCTGATAACGCCTAGCTCCTTTGATTCTTTAGTGACTACACAGAGTGATATACTATCACTCCTTCTGTTATTTATTAGCAAGAATATTTGAGAAAGAAAAAAATCTCCAACTACTTGATTATTCTAAGGTATAATTTATAGAGGAAAAGCTTTTCTTCTTTGTCCACCAACATCAAACTGTCTTTCTCTTACCACACTACAATACATTCTACATTCAGTTCTCTTCTGAGTTACAGCCACAGACACACAATAGGACTTTCTTTGGCATGTATGTCTTGTGTGTGTGTGTGTGTGTGTGTGTGTGTGTGTGTGTGTGTGTGTGTGTGTGTTGCAGAGATCAAACCCATGCTCTCATGTCCACTATAGCAGGGCCCTGGCAGTGGGTGAAAGAAAGCGTCCGTTACCTCATATGCACATACCCGTCCACAGTTACCGAACTGCCTTCTAGGTGGACACTAGATCCCACATCAAGGACAGGTATTCGCATCTGGGTGAGACTTCTCCTGTCTAATAGCTCAGAACCTTCTACAACAAACACATGCAGATGTGAGAACATATTCAGGGTCACTGTATTCTGAGGAAGGAGGGAAGCAGCCAATCCTACACAAAAGCTGCGCCATATGTGATTGGTGGGCCTTAAAGGGAGGGCAGGAGGAAGTCAGCTTACATTAACAGCAAGACACAAGCAGACAAACATCTTTTCACACATTTGTAGGACGGGGCACTACCACACTGTTAGCCTGCTTTTAGCATGGAGCCATCCTGCAAAGGACATGAGAACATCTGTCTGTCTGCTTTTACTCCAATTTGGATACATTGGGCTATCCTAATCTAATAAAAGCAGAAAAGCCTGCAGATCACCATCTGCTGCCCAGGCTAATCCACTGTTGTGAGTCAGCACAAGAGCCTGATCAAGGGTATGTGCCTATAGATAAAGACTAGCAGGGAACTGGAGGAAACAGATACAGGAAGATGGCAAGACAAAAACCTAAAGCCCTTTCTCTCTTGTTGTAACATTGGTTTTCACAACAAATACAATCTGCTTAGCACAGTAGAAAGAGAAAATACAGCAAACAAGCTGGACAGTCGTGGTGCACGCCTATGGTGATATTTGTGCTGAAGTGTGGTGATATTTTATTTGTGCTTTAATAAATGAAGTTTGCCTGGAGAGCAGAAGAAATAGCAAGAAGCCATTTTAAGTAAACAAAGAAGTCAGGCAGCGGTAGTACACACTACACTCTTAATCCTATAACTTAGCAGGCAGGATCTCTGTGAGTTCAAGGCCACACTAGGGAACAGAGCCAAGCATGGTGACACACGCCTTTAATCCCAGTACCAACCATAGAGGTCTGGAGTACCTATACAGACATGAAATGACAGAGCTGGCCAGGAAGAGGAAGTGATGTAGCTAGACAGAGAGCAAATCAGATGGCAGAACAGCAAGGCAATCAGACGTGGGTATATAGGAAGTTGCTCTCTTTGGAAGCTGCAGAGTTGGTAAGGTAAGGTTGGCTGGTGGCTTTCCCTATTTCCCTGATCTCTCTAAGGCTTTCACTCCTATATTTGGCACTGTGTTTTTTATTTACTAAGGCCATTTAGATATTCATCTACAATTGAAATTCGTCTACACACACACCTATAATCCCAGCACTTGGGAGGCAGGTGGATCTCTGTGAGTTTGAGGCCAGCCTAGTTTACAGAGCTAATTCCAGGACAGCTAAGACTATAAGAAACCCTGTCTCGAAAAACAAACAAACAAAAAAATGAAAGCAAACGAAAAGTGCTGTGTAATATTTATATACATTATATGAAAGTCTAGCTCCTGTAACCTCTTACAACCTACCTTCTGCCTCCCAAAAACCTAGCACATTAGCCAGGAGCAGTCATCTGGGGCAAAGACAGGCCTTGGGTCCCTGACCTGGCTCTTGTCACAGGGTTAGCTGAAGTCTCATCGTTCATACTTGGGGGTTACAAGCACAAGAGGGCTTGCTTTTCCCAGTCTGAGCAGAAAGAGGCTCATTGGTGCATACTAAACAGTGACTCACTGACAAATTAAAATAAGATCTTTTTACCCCCATCTTCACACCACTCCCAGAAACATATGTTCCTCGTTCTTTTCTGCAGTCAGGGAGAACCTGCTGGCAGAATCCCGAGGACTTCTCTACAAGAACCCAGCCCTCTCAGGAAAGCCCAACTTGCCCCCTTTCCTCTTCCCGGTTGCAGACCCGCAGGTACCTGCTGTTTCTGTGCAACTCTGTCTATAGTCCTTCCTTTCCACCCAAACTCTACTCCTGGCACCCACCCACCAAGCCATTCTAGGCATGGGACGCATCTCTGAAAATACACTGTGCTGGATAGTTTTATGCCAACTTGATACACACTGGAGTCATCTGAGAGGAAGGAACCTCAAATGAGAAAATGTCTCCATAAGATAGGGCTGTAAGCAAGTCTGTAGGGCATTTTCTTAATTAGTGACTGATGGAGGAGGGCCTAACCATTATGAGTAGTACCATCCCTGGGCTGGTGGTCTTGAGTTCTGTAAGAAAGCAGGCTGAGCAAGCCTTGATGAGCAAGCCAGTAAGCAGCACCCCTCCACGGCCTCTGCATCAGCTCCTGCACTGCTTGAGTTTCTGTCCTGACCTCTTTTAACGATGAACAGTGATGTGGAAGAATAAGACAAATAAATCTCCCCAAGTTGCTTTCTATCCTGGTGTTTTGTCACAGCAATAATAACCCTGAGATACACATTTTCACCAAAGACACTAAAAATATATTTCATGATATTAAGGAATTGTAATTTTTATGGTAAACTACAGTATTATGATTACATTTTTTTAATTACACTTTTTATCGGGGAGCACACATGCCATAGTGCAAGTGTAGAAGTCAGAGGACAACTTGCATGGGTCAATTCTCTTCTGCCACAATGTGGATCCCAGGGACCAAACTCAGGTTGTCAGTCTTGGTGGCAAATACTTTTACACACGGGGCCACTTTGCCAGCCTGGTTTGGTATGTATTTTTTAAAAAGAAGACTACATTTTCAGAGACACATTATGAAGTATTACAGATAAAAAGAGTATAATGTCTGGGTTTTGAGAAATAAAAGATAAATACCCATGGAATATAAATCAAACATGAGTGGCCAAGCACAGGGGATCACTGAAAACTAGATGACTGCATGCAGTCTAGTCAGTTTGTCTTCTGTTTGAAACTTTTCATTATAACAAAACCAAACCAAATGACTACCAGGCGATTCCTCTCCTATGAGACCACGTAAGGGTGGCCTGGCCTCCAGCTCTCCACACTGTCTCCAAGTGTATTTACCCCAGGGACCTCATGCTTTCTTGCCCACTCAACTTTACTTTTTTTCTTTTTTGAGACAGGATTTTTCTGTGTGTCCCTGGCTGTCCCAGAACTAGCTCTGCAGACCAGGCTGGCCTCGAATTCAATCTGCCTGCCTCTGTCTCCTTATTGCTGGGATTAAAGGCCCAGCCAGACTGCAAATTTCTAATTGCAGGACTATTTTGTTATGTGACAGTCACCAGGTGTTAGCTTCGAATTCCTGCCATGTAAACGTCTTCTTAAAAAAAAAAAAGGTTTAGTTTTATTTAATGTGTATGCCTGTTTGCCTGCATGTAAGTCTGTACACCATGTGTGTGCAGTGTCCACAGAGGTAACAAGAAGCAGCTGGAACCCTTGGAACTGGAATTACAGACAGCTGGGTGCCACCATGAGCGCTGCTCTTAACTACTGAGCTATCTCTCCAGCCCTGTAATAGCTTCTTAATTACATTCAGAAATGATATCTCACCTTGCTCAGGTGAATGAGGCACTCAAACTTACATTCAGAAATGATATCTCACCTTGCTCAGGTGAATGAGGCACTGATCTCCTCAAAGCCTACTGGGTGGGACAGGTCTTTGCAGCCAGGCACTTACTTCTGACTAGCCTCCATCTCCAGCAGTGCAGACAGAGCTGAGGTTCCTTTCTTCCCAACTGGGGGGCCTGTTGACTCGAGGGAGTGTGCAGCGATGGGCCCAGTCATCTGCAAGCCTTTCATGGCAGTCCCTTTCTAAAGCATGGAGAGGAGACAGTTCGGTCGTTAGTCCAGGTAGGCTCTGAGATGTCACTCACATCTCAGCTCACACTGAGATCACACACATCTTTGGGCCCTGGGAACCCAATCAACCCAGAAGAGGAACACAGGTTCTCTGTGTTTAGCAAACGATAGAAGAAACTAAGACTCAGAGAGGTTGGTTAACCAAGGAACTCCAAATCCCCTGAAGCTGGAATTCAAACTAACATTGGCTCTTTTCAAAGCTTAAAGCTCTTTTCACACAAGCATTCTAAATGTTCTAGTCACAAGTGATCTTGAACATAGAAGGCAGCTGGTGTGAGAAAAGGAACCTAAGGTTAACAACAGGGCTGATGAAGGAACACTATCAGGAGATTAAAAATAATGAACTACTAATACAAAAGCTTGAATGAGTCCTAATCATAATGCTATGTGGAAGAAGCAAGCCTCAAGTGGTTTTCTATCATATGATAGAATTTTAAAACACCCGGGTGCTGGAGAGATGGCTCAGAGGTTAAGAGCACCGACTGCTCTTCCAGAGGTCCTGAGTTCAATTTCCAGCAACCACATGGTGGCTCACAACCATCTGTAATGAGATCTGGTGCCCTCTTCTGTGTACATAATAAATAAATAAATCTTTAAAAAAAATAAAACACCTGGAAAAGACTAGTGGCTGCTAGAATATAGAGAAGGGAAGAATGTGACTGCCAAGGGGAGCATGATGCTTTTGTGTTTTTCCTTTTAGTTCTGGGGATCAAACTCAAAGTCTCTCGCATGCTATGAAGGTGATCTACCACTGAGGAACCATTTGATGGTGGTGGCTGGTAACAAATCCCTGTATTCTGTATATACCTGTATACAAGCACACAGAGATTTAGAGAGTCAATTACACTTTACGTTAATTTAAGCAAAACAATGCTGAATCACACATCTGCCCCTTATTGCCTGGGTAGCTTCAGATATATCCTATGACCTTCTATGTAAGCCTCAGTCTCTTCACTGAGTGGCAGTGTACGACCAAAATTAAAGTGGTGAAAACTCTAAAAGGAAGGCCTGCTGCTGTCAACCTCTTAAGAGCTTTTACTTAAAATTCGGTGCCACAAAACACAGCAGCTGTGCCCGATACCGGGTCCCACTTGGAGAGTACACAATCGGTGCTATGTCCTCAGCTAGAAGGAGCAGCTCAAGCCATAGGCAAAGTGCAGTCACTGCTGGCACCAATCCCCTCTCCTTCATCCTACAACAGGCAAGAACATCCTGACTAGAATTTCAGACACGTGTTGAGTAGTCATCGGATAAAGCATCTGGCTGATGAGAAGCCTGAGAGAGCAGGAGGTGGAGCCTGCCTCCCAGGCTAGGTACAGTCCCCAGGAGTTCTCAGAGCCCTTACCCTACTGGTTTTCCACCCTCCTAATGCTGCAACACTTTAATACAGTTTCTCAGGTTGGGGTGACCCCAACCATAAAATTATCTTTGTTGCTACTTCATAACTGTAATTTTATAGAGGAGCAGTGTCTCAGTTCCTAAGACCATTGGAAAAAACATGTTTCCCATGGTCCCGACCCACAGCTTGAGAATTGATGCCTTACCCGAATCATGCGGTCTGAGCGATGGCGCCTGCGGATGCGGTTTAAGCCCTCTACAAAGCGAATAAAGCCATCTAAGAGCTGCCACTCATCTTCATCTGCTCGGGGTCTGTCCCCATAGATGTCACAGTGCACCTCCCCTTCTGTGATGCGCTTGGTGGCAGTGACACAGGCTGGCAGTAGTAGGAACCGGGTTCTCCAGAACTTCAGAGACTCAATTAAACTATAGAGAGCCAAGGAAATCAGAGTGGCGGTGAGAAAAAGTAGACAATAAAAGCCTTCCTGGAGAGCTCTCTCTTAAGCAGACATGAGACGTCCTGTTCTGCTGCCCCAAATGGCTTTGCTTAAGACAGGACACAAAACTGAAAGACCACAGGTGGCTTCTGCTTTAATCCCAGCACCATGACAATACCTCTGTGAACCCAGACCCAGTAAAGCAGCTGTCCACCATCAATTACAAAGCAGACAGAAAGGCTAAAACATAAATGAGACACCACGACCACAAGGCTGCTAAACAGCAAGAATAGAATGCTGGAAGCACATGTTAACACGAGTCCTTTATTTGTTAAAACATATTGACCTGTATACAATCACACATTTCGTGAACACACACACACACACACACACACACACACACACACACACACTCACACACAGAAAGGGAATTCTACTACTTATTACTTTAAATAAAACAATACTGAATCACAGATGTGCTCCATATTAGCTGGTAGTCTCAGGCACAACATGAACTCTATGCAACCTCTACGATCCTAAGTTCTTCCACTGAGTTCATGCTCAGTGCTGACACTTGCACCAAAAGGCACACTGTGCCTGAGCTCTGCTTTGTTTTTCCAACTGCCATAGAATACACAATCACTCCCACCCATTTTAAGTGCGTGTGTCAACGGTACCGAGTACACTCACTGTTACATAACCATCACCTCTAGGCAGAGGGGTTTTTTTTGTTTTTTTTTGTTTTTTTTTTTTTTTTTTTTTGGTTTTTTGAGACAGGGTTTCTCTGTGTAGCTTTGTGCCTTTCCTGAATCTCGCTCTGTAGACCAGGCTGGTCTTGAACTCACAGAGACCCACCTGTCTCTGCCTCCCGAGTGCTGGGATTAAAGGCATGCATCACCACCGCCTGGCTAGCCAGAGTTTTAAGTTGTACAGGCGTGCTCTGTTCTTCCAATTTTAGGGAAAACAAAACAGACACCAGACAAGAGGACAGATGTGTTAAAAGATGATGCATACATCCAAGGTAGCACAGATGGGAAGTTAAAGCCTCTCTCTCACCTGAAATCTTCAGAGCCAGCAGAACAAATATACTGATCTAGGTAATTCCACTTGTACTCCTCTAGCCGTTCATGGCAGAATTCCACCCAACAGGAGACAAACTCTGAGTCCGAGTGGGAAGGGCAGAGGCTGTAGGTATAACGGATCTGGGCAGATTCATAAGGGTACCTAAAAAACAAAGGACATGCCTGGATATTTAAAAGCAATCTGTACCCACCACCACCCTTTTTCTGCTTCAGAATATTTGGCACTATCCTGGGCTCAGTCCCTAGCTATAGTAATTAGCTCATCCTAGGAGACTATATATAATGGAAATTTCTCAGATCTTCTTAAACTTTTCATTCTTTTCGACATTTATCCTTTGATTTTTAATATGCTTGATGTGAATCATGCTAAGCTTTATAAACTGAATCAATTCCCTTTGGGAAGTAGTAAGCTATAAACCTAAAGTTACTTTAAAGCAAAGTCTAAAGGGAATCATTCAACTTCTTATATACACATTGTATTATACAGATAATTTAGTGTATAGACAAAATTCAAGATGGCCACCAAAGACTATAAACATCCAAGGACTCACTTGGGAAGGTATCGTGTTACTGTGATCATCTTGTCCTTGAGTGTCACCTTATGGAAGGTTCTGCCCATACTCAGCCAATACTGGCCTTCCTCCTCAGGGCGGTTTCTGGACACAAGGCCTAGTAGGAAAAAAAAAGTGATTTCATTTATCTCGTAAAGGCTCATTTTCACCACAGTCTTGCTTTTTATCCACAAAGATACAGATAAAGAGGGAAAGAAAGAAGAAGAAACAATGTTTTGAGAGGCTGCTCACAGAAGCATTATTCTTGGTTAAAAAATAAAATCCCAGAAACTGTCATAATTTTCTCTTATTAAACCAACTAGAAGCAAATGAGAGCAGGTGTTGGCAGCACCTGGATGCTACACTCCGACCCTGAGGCCCAGGCCTATGGAGTAGATGTTAACACGTCTGGGATATGTGTGGGATTAAAATGAAACTCCACTCGACCCACGCCCATCTCAGTCCTCGCCCCGGGCTGGCGGCCAACACCGCCTCCTGGCTTGTGCTCCAACTCCTCCCCAAAGCTCCTCCGAGCTTTAGTCTGAAAGGACCACTGGTCTGTTTTATGTGCTTTTTGCCCTACACACCTGCTTGTAACACTGCTTCTGCCTTCTCTTCCTGAGCCACTAATTGAAATCTTACAGATTAAAAAATGAAATGTCTACATTTATTTACTTGTGTGTGTGTGTGTGTGTGTGTGTGTGTGTGTGTGTGCACAAGCACAAGTACACATGCATATTACGGCACACATGTGTGGAGGTTGGAGGGCAATTTGCAGGATCAGGTCGTCTTCTATATGTGGATTCTAGGGGTCAAATTCAGGTCACCAGCCATGGCAGTAAGTGAACTTACCAGGTGAGCAACCTCTCCAGCCCATTTATAGATTACTTAATATCACCACCAAAGGAAACTTCCTCAGGAAAGCTGTCAGACACCATTAGTCACATGAACATCTTATATGTAGCTCCTTAGGTATGTGTCTCTCCAAATATAAACTCTTATAAAAAAGTTTCAAGGATTCAGGCACAGCCGTGCATATCTATGGCTCCAGCCACACAAGTACTAAGACAGGCAGATTGACTGAGTCTTTAAGTCTGATGCCAGAGTGGGAAACATAGTGAATCCTTGACTCAAGACCAAATTAAATTAAAATTTAAAATAAAATTCCAAGAGGCCAGAACTAAATATTGTTTATATTTTCAATTAGCTCCTGATAAAAGTGTCATGCCCAGAGTAGGTGTTCAAAAACTTAATTTAACTAAATTAAACACAGCAAAAGTGAAAATAACGAGAATCAGGAAGATTCTCTAAAGAGTAAAAAATGTGCCATAAAAAATAACAAAGACTAGGCAAGATCCTCATGAGTGGCAAACCAAGTGTTCAGGTCAGAGACAGTCACACGGTGGCAGGTGGCCTGGAGTGCTCAGAAGAGAGGACAGTGGAGTCTGAGAGAATCTTCAGTGTGAATGTGACAATCTGCCAAGGCAGGCCACAGCATATATAAGAGCCTTCAGCTTGGGACCCTGCATTCAGCCTCAACCTCTTTAACTGCCAGGGCATGCTCTCTAGTAGCAAGTCTCTCCAGGTCTTGCTTTCTGCAAATAAGCAGGGGCATGCCCCATGAGGCGCTCCTTCATTTTGCTATAAGCACCCTGCCTGCTGTCAGGAAGAGGGTCGGGGGACAGGAACAACTCAGTTCCCCAGCATATCATTCTAAACCAGTTGTACCCCAGGGATCAAACATGTATCTGTGGTTAAGTTTATGTGTGCCTCTCCCAGTGGACAGTAAACTCCAAGAGTTTGTTGGAACAAGTCCTACCTTACCTTTGCAATCAATAAACTTGAAACAAGGGAGAAGCATAAGCTTGGCTATGAAAGCAACTTTCCCAATAACGACAGTAAAAGTTTTTATTTCCAGGGACATAAGAGTGTCCCTCTGACAGCTAGCCATAAAGAATAAGGCTCATGAATCAGTCAGGACCAGCACTCGACACTAGAATTACAGACTCACAAGGGCCATTCACCCCATTCAAGAGCAGAGACTAGGCAGGCGAGATGTGGCCAAGTGCCATCTAAAAGCAAATTCATTACTGCTCCTTGGATTAAAGAACTAAATTCTTCCTGCAGCCTTGTGAGACCTAACGTCTCTGGCCACACCCCCAGCTCATTCTGTGCTCCATACCACTAGCTTTCTTTTGGGGTGCAAAAGTTATCACAGTGTCTCCTGCTAAAGGCTTTTGCTCACACCAATCCCTCTGCCTGCATGCTCTTCCCTTTAACTTGCCCCCTCCTTTTCCTAATGACTTCTACTTATTTCAGGTCTAAGGTCAAACATCACCGCCTCAGGAAGCCACACCTGATCCCCCAAACGAGATCAAGCTCCAAATTAAAGAGGTGTCATGGGCCTTTAACTAACTTTTCCCTCCCAGTCTTTATCTCAGCAGATCCATTTTTCATAGTCTGACAAATGCTATTTTCTCTTTATTGAGCTATAAATTCCTTCTTTAGACCAGAAGTGTCAAAAATGTTGAATGAATGAGTGAAAGAGCACATATATTTATTTAATATCTGTTATATTCCCAGGCACTATAGTTTCCACTGTGGAGGTGAAAAAGATGAATCCGAAATGGTCCTGGTTAAAGTGAATTGGTAGTACAGTGGTGACCACAGCAATCTTCCAAAAGGGTCTTGGCACCCTAAAAGGCTAATACAGACTAAGGAAGGTGTGACAGTACAGATCTGGAACCCCAGGGGGTTAGGTAGGAGGTGAAGCAGGAAGATCAAGAAGTTCAAGGCCAACCTGACGTTCGAGACCTTGTCTCAAAAAAAAAAAAAAGAAAGAATGTAAAATATGAGCAAAAGGCAACAAACGTCACAAGGAGCTTCCTAAGAAACACACAAGAGAGCCACAGCTTCATGTACGAGGTCTGGACAGGCTGACAGCTAAGCCACACAACAGATCCACACTTCTCTAAATTCTCTGGCCAGAGGAGTGTGGTGATATTTTATTTGTACTGAAATGTTATTTTAATTTTATGTTAATAAATAAAGTTGCCCTGGGGTCAGAGCTATTAGAGCCATAGTAAGAGCGTGGTGGTTAGAAGAGCTAGG